GGGCCATGAGCTCGTCCAGCTATCAAAGCAAAAAAAAATTATCAGATTAAAAGGGTGTAACTGCCGTAATATAACACAGTAAAAATAAAACAACGCCAAGTGATTCGAGAACTATCTAAGGCAATATAAAAGAACAACCATGACCCCCGCTCAAAACCCCAACTCCCGCCCTCTATCATCGGGTAGATGCCTTATTTTACTTCACCCGAGAACCCGTTAAGAAATGGCTTAGTAATTGTGAACATTTTTATTGCAACGTCTTTTTTTACGGCAAGCGACCATAACAAATTTATAACGTGTACTGCAATCTTTTTGTGAGCAAAAAACTAACTTTAAGTGAGATTAAATCTTTTGTGATACAGTTTAATCTAATCATTTGGCTCCAGTTCAATGTAAGCGGAATAGACTGCTCAGTTACGCGTCATCTTAGAGTGATGAATTTTGACTTAGCTGGATAGACCCTGTCAAATTCTGGTTCTCCTTTTTCGCTGTTTTTTTTTATTTATTTTTATTGCTTAGATGGGTGGACGACCTCACAGCCCACCTGGTGTTAAGTGGTTACTGGAGCCCATAGACATCTACAACGTAGACGCGCCACCCACCTTGAGATACAAGTTCTAAAGTCTCAGTATAGTTACAACGGCTGGGGCAGCCTTCAAGCCGAAACGAATTACTGCTTCACGGCAGAAATAGGCAGGGTGGTGGTACCTACCCGCGCGGACTCGCAAGTGGTCCTACCACTAGTAAAGTTGTTTCCACAACGCTTTCATAATGTTTGATCAGAGTTTTTTTTTTAAATAATTTCTAGGGCAAGAACTTTTATAGGCCCAGGAAGTTGACTCTTAATATACGCCACTCGTTAGGAAACTTAGCTATTTCATTCATCAAATTACAAATTGTATACTTCAATTCTTTGCCTACCTTTGTTCATATTTTAAAATTCACAAACGTAAATATGTATCACATAACATTTTCTCTTTGTAAGCATTATCCGTCAACATTCAGACAATCAACGATCGTGATAGACTGGAACGGGAATTGTATGAATATTACACGTGTTAAATTATGTATTGCCTTGCGCATTATTTTGCGCAAGATTGGGAACTGGACAATATTATTGACTGTTAGTCAATTAGACCGTTAGTAGTTAGTAAAGTTAATATTGAAAATTGCCCAATGATTGAACGAATGTTTGAGCCAGTTTAATTAATTTTTTATTTAACAATATTTTTCAGTCTGTGGTTGTTCTTAATAAAGAGTACAGGCGCTAGACGCGAACACGAAAACTTTGTGCACTTCTTATTATTGTGCAATATAATATAATAGATTGTTTGGATTCAGAGCGCCTTTCAATCTTATATTACAACTAGCGGCCCGCTCCGGCTTCGCTCGGGTCTTTAACAAAAATTTCAACGATATTTGACGTTGTTTTATTTTTTTAAATAAAAGAACACTTATTCCGGATTAACTATAATAGTTAGACATATGCTGTCGCGACACTTTTTGTAAATAATAATGTGTTTTACAAAGTCGTAGTACATTATTTTATTCTATCATGAATAGTTTTCGCAGGGCACGTGATGTAAAGAGTATTTTAGGTTATTTTTTTACACCTTGGTATATTATTGGAGTTTTAGTAAGGAACCCTAATTTTTTTCAAAAAAGATTGTAGCCTATGTCACTCACTGTGTCAAAGCGGTTCAGTAGTTTCGGAGCCTATTCAATACAAACAAACAAACAAGCAAATCTTTCCTCTTTATAATATTAGTATAGAAGTATAGATAAAATGTATTGTACAATGTTATTGTTAGTCTAGGGCCCGCTTTAAAGAGTAGTTTGATTTCAATAGGCTCTGGTAACAGCTTACAAGGGCGGATCCAGCTTTGGTGCCAGGAGGGGGTCACATAGTCATGGTCAAGTCAAGAACTTATAATTTAATTTTGATAACAACAGATACAAGTAAAAAGTAGGTATTTTATTAATGTACGTAAGTACTGTACTTAAAAATATTTATTCTTTATTGTACACTTGAAAAACTTAACACATAATAACTTGTACGTATACACGTACATATTGTCATCTTCTCTTGAAGACATCCAGAGAAGCACTATCACGCCCGGAATGAGGCAGCTTATTTATATTCTATAACCGTGGTCCTAAAATCATTATGTTCAATATGTGGTCCACCTAGTTCCTGGAACCAGCTCAGGGGGGGGGGGCATGGGGGTCATGCCCCGTTAATTTAGATCAATATCAGATATAGATACAGGGAGCCCATTTAACAGAAACGATTAATGAAAAACATGAAGCGACCATTTTATCTCCAATTTACTGAACCAACTGAGATTAGAACGTGTATTTACGTAACGGATCTCGGAAAGAAAAAAAAATTGTCCTTCATCGTTAAATTTTTATTAGGAACGAGATGGAAATGAATAATTCTTTGTATAAAGTCTTCCCAAGAAGTCGCCTCGGGCGCCTGCTCCTTGTTACTGTTTAGTAAATTCAGGCGCCCTCTTTTTGTGTATTATCTTTGAATACATATACTTTAATATATTTAGGATATATTTTTAACACTCCTTTATGAGTTTTACTTATAGTTTAAAGTATAGGGTAATAAAACTATATCACAAACTGAGTTGTTCTATAAAGAGAAACAACATTTAAAGCTATTGCTTCACCAGTTTTTATGTTTATTATATTTCAATAATTTTTACATTTATATTATATAGTATTTCATAGATATATATCTAATGGAACCTTAAAACGTAATTACGTTGCCCGGGTAAACGGGTTGACGGGTTAACAGGTGCCCCACCCTTCAAACCGAAACGCATCACTGCTTCAAGGCAGAAATAGGCAGGGCGGTGGCACCTACCCGTGTGGATTCACAAGAGGTCCTACCACCAGTATTTACACAAATTATAATTTTGCGGGCTGTGATTTTTATTATGCAATATTATTCCTTCATCGTGGAAGACAATCGTGAAGATCTGTTAAGTACGTATTTCATTAGGAAAGGACAAACCCGAAATCTATACAAACTTGGGCCTGGCGTTACAGTGCTAGAATTTGGGCATAAGTTACAATACCTAAGAAGGTTTCATGAGCCCAATTTTCAGGTCTCCCAGCAATGGCCAAATTGGTAAAATCAGACAATGTTTACATTTTAGGTTATGTTTATTGTTCGAGATATTTTAATAAAAACGATATTTTTGAGGCTGTTTCCTACTAAAGATGAGTAATTTTTTACGAAACCTGTTGCAGCAACAGGTTGCTTTAAAATAAAAATGGAACCTGTTACGAGAAATCGCGCGTTAGGTTGTTTACGAAAATGAACGAAAGCCAAAAATTAAAAACAACGTAATGCATAACGCGCTGCGCACGAAATGATTTTTTAAGGGATTTTATGACCTGGTAACTAAGACCTTTAGGTCAGTCTTATTTTAATTTTAATGAAAACTTTTTTATATGAAAAACTATATTTATATGATAACTTTTTTATATAAAATATAAATCATTACGTGCTCCCATATTATCTCATCACATTTCATTTCATTTTATTTCATGCCTTTTTTATTTTTATTTTTTATTGCTTAGATACCCATCGACGAGCTCACAGCCCACCTGATGTTAAGTGGTTACTGGAGCTCATAGACATCTACGACGTAAATGCGCCACCCACCTTGAGATATAAGTTCTAAGGTCTCAGTATAGTTACAACGGCCGCCCCGCCCTTCAAACCGAAACGCGTTACTGCTTTACGGCAAAAATAGGCGGGCGGGAGGGGCGGACTCACAAGAGATCCTACCACCAGTAAAATTATTAATGTAACTACACCATAGAAAAACTCAAAGTACCAAATCGACTTTTTCATGTTATATTTAAGATTGCCAGTTGAAAATATTTTGAATTGCCGCAGTTGCCGACATGATTTCGTGTCATAACTAAATGGCACAGTTATTTTTTTCTTTTAATGATTTTTGTTAGTAGATTTTGGTGCTTTACGTTACGTTATTCAATGAGATTAAGTTTATAGTCTGGCCAGCGAATTATGGCACAACTAAATAGCGGCAATCCAAAATATCTTCAGTTGGCAACATTAAAGATAACATAACACGATTTGATACATTTGTGTTTTTCTATGGCGTAGTCACATTAATATTAAAAATGCAAAACTACCCTTTTATGCTATATTTAATGTTGTCAGTTGTAGATATTTTGAATTGCCGCCATTGTAAGTAGTTGTGTCGCGATTCGATGGCCATACTCTATTTACATTGATTAAAATACCTATAAAAACAGTCATTTATCCTAAAGCAAAAGAGTATTATTAATTATTTTTTACACTCGATTTCCACTAAATCGATCCTATTTTATGGATGCTCTAATTCTAATCCGCACGTTTGTGGAGCTAGTTACGTATAAGTGTTGCAGATGTTTACAAATATTGTTTAAAACAAAAAATTGAATTCAACTTATTTTCTACACTTGGCCATTGTCAATGAAGCTAAGATTTCAATAGGTTAATCAAGCAAAATAGACGATTTTTTTGGTACATATCCCATTCGTGTAACGCTCAGGCCCAAAATGGGCTTTCTCCTTTGTACCCGCCTGTGGGATTCGAACACCGGTGCCTCGCTAGATACGAATGCACCGGACGTCTTATCCTTTAGGCCACGACGACTTCAAAATTCGATTCGTTGGATTACAAACAATACTTTCAAATCAAATCCAATCAAAAATTTTTTATTCAACATAAATGAAAGTACATACTTCTTGAACGTCAAAAGAACTACCGCCAATTCACAAAAACTAGCCTCCGTCCTGAGAAGAATTGGCAAGAAACTCAGCGGGCATGTCTTTTTTTTAAGATTAGATTTTTTTTAATATTAGATTTTTTTTAAATATTCATTTTTACAGTGAGTATTAATAACGTAACAGTTATTACAATATTGAAATACCCGGAGCGAGCAACTCATGTTTCAGCTTTGTTGCAGATATGATATGATGCGGAGTGATGTCGTACGGTAACGCGAGCGATGACGCGCAGACGGACGAGGCGACACACGCTCACGCTCTGGCCACACTCCTCGCCATGTACGTGCTCGTATCGCTCATCGGCATCATAGGTAAGGGAAGCGACTAGACATTTTATCTAATACTAGCTGACCTGGCAGACTTCGCAGTGCCTCAATCGATAAATAAAAGACCTAAGCTTTTGTATAAAACAAACTTAAAACAAACAAAAGGAATCCGTTCGACGGAGGACACATCAAAGGAAAAACAAAATTGTTATTTTTATTTCATTCCGAGTATTTTCATATCTATCTACCTTTTAAACCTTCTCTGGACTTCCACAAATAATTCAAGACCAAAATTAACCAAATCGGTCCAGCCGTTCTCGAGTTTTAGCGAGACTAACGAACAGCAATTCATTTTTATATATATAGATAGATAGATAGATAGATAGATAGATAACTCTACCGTCGTCTAACTTTATCGTCGTCGTGGCCTAAAGGATAACACGTCCGATGCATTCGTATTGAGAGATGTTCCGATGTTCGAATCCCGCCGGCGGGTACCATTTTTGTAATGAAATACGTACTTAAGAAATGTTTACGATTGACTTCACGGTGAACGAATAACATCGTGTAATCAAAATCAAACCCGCAAAATTATAATTTGCGTAATTACTGGTGGTAGGACCTCTTGTGAGTCCACACGGGTAGGTACCACCACCCTGCCTATTTCAGCCGTAAAGCAGTAATGCGTTTCGGTTTGAAGGGTGGGGCAGCCGTTGTAACTATACTTGAGACCTTAGAACTTATATCGCAAGGTGGGTCGCGCATTTACGTTGTAGATATCTATGGGCTCCAGTAACCACTAAACTCCAGGTGGGCTGTGAGCTCGTCCTCTCATCTAAGCAATAAAAAAAAATCGAGTAAACATTTTCTCTAATATAACTCTAATAGCCGCCCAACACCTCTGGACCGAGCTGGGTTGGGAGCTAATCCGCTCTGGTAGTTGCATTCGACTCGCCAGCGTCGTAGATTCCAATTCGCGAAGCATGGCCCACAATATCAGGCGATTCCAATGCGGTGATAAATCAATTCGCGAAACAGTTTTTATTAAGCTACTAGGAGTACCTTGAAGGTTCTCGGGGAGGAAATTTTTTTTTATTGCCTTTGTAGGCAGACAAGCATACAGCCCACCTGATGGTGAGTGGGTACCGTCGCCCATGGACTACAGCAATGCCAGGGGCAGTGCCAAGACGCTGCCTACAAAGATAAATACATAATGATAAATGACAGGAATAAATCACACCTGCACTTCTGGGCCTAAACCTGGATTCTCTGCCTCATAACATTATATTTAACAACGGCAACGCGCACTAATGAAACAAACGTAAAACTTCAATATATATTTTCCTATTCTGCTGTTTCCTCGCCATAGGAGGGTTTTAAAATATTTTCTATATGCTCTTCAGGAGAATACGTTCGGATGGACCAAAATAGCTAGTTAAAAGTAATTTAAATTTGCTCCTAATCTGTACAGTGTTAAATTTTCATATTTACACTAAAACTTCTAATATATCCAGTTCAAAGTTGCTCAGATTTCATTCTGACAGACTTATTTCTTCAAGCCTACCTGCCAATAACAGCTCTCTAGAAACCGGTAACCGCTTTCAGCCGGAGATTAGCTTATCTATTTATAATCTAAGCTTCGCTTTAATTTGAAGATAAATTGAATAAATAAAATAAAATTATAACAGGGTATATGTGGATAATCCGGAGAAATTGATTTAAGCAGTACCAATCGATGCAAATACAAAAAATCGATACCTTAAAGAAAATATGTTTATGTGTTTTGTATTTCAACGAAATTTACATTTGAAGAAAAAAAAATGGATATATTTCATTCAATACTCGATGACCGAAGGTTGTTTTAAGACGAAACTGACTACTTTACTCCAAAAATAAGGACGAATAGTGGCATTCAAGCAAATTAAAAGCGAAACGCGACCAGAACTGGTGGTAGGACCTCTTATGAGTCCGCACGGGTAGGTACCACCACCCCGCCTATTTCCGCCGTGAAGCAGTAATGCGTTTCGGTTCGAAGGGTGGGGTAGCCGTTGTAACTATACTGAGACCTTAGAACTTATATCTCGAGGTGGGTGGCGCATTTACGTTGTAGATGTCTATGGGCTCCAGTAACCACTTAACACCAGGTGGGCTGTGAGCTCGTCCATCCATCTAAGCAATAAAAAAAAAATAAAAAAAAGAACTCACGTATCCCAGAAGATAAGATAGACCTAAATTTTGAATAGGACTACAATATTGTTACGCCGGGAAGAGTAACGCCATCTATTGCCGAACAGTCAAACGAATATCGAAGGATCTAGTAGCATCTAGAACGCTCGAGAAGTACAACGCCATCTATTGTCAAACAGCGAAAACACAATACTAGAAACGTGTGGAATATTCTCGATAATTCTAGTAATGTAGTATCGGCTATGAAAGCGTTGCAGAGATGGCACGCAGTCAGTTAGTAATCGGAACTACTCGAAGCGAAATAGCGAACGGATCACCTGAAGCGAAGAGGAAGCAGCGACTTGAGAATATTAAAGTGTTTATGAAGTATTCTAAGTGTTGAATACAGCTTAAGTTATACTTTGGTGGACCATTTATTTATCCCGAGCCCCAGTGCGTAACAATATAAGAAGAGACACGGCATATCCACTTGTCTAACCTTTATCATAGTGCCTAAGTTTCGTTTAGTTCAGAGCCTATAGTATTTCTGTTCATAGTCAGTTCATGACGAGGGTCCTATTCTAATGAGTAAATTTATGAAATAGTTTGTACCTGTGGGCTTGTAAGAGCTGTCTGGGTAATACCCGGTTGAGAATATGGGTCCCTTGACTCCCGTAAAAAAAAAAAAATTTGATCTTAGGAACTACCTACATCGATGTTTAAATCGGCTTTTCTAGCAGTCAAGCTGATATATATATATATATATATTTTTATTGCCTTTGTAGGCAGACGAGCATACGGCCCACCTGATGGTGAGTGGTTACCGTCGCCCATGGACTTCAGCAATGCCAAGGGCAGAGCCAAGCCGCTGCCTACCGCTTAATACTCTCCACAAGCCTCGTTTAAAGAAGGACATGCCATAGCGCTCGGGAAACACCGTGGAGGGGAGCTCATTCCATAGCCGGATGGTACGTGGCAAAAAAGATCTCTGGAAATGCACTGTGGATGACCGCAGTGGCTCCAGGTGGTATGGATGAACTCTACTCCGGTGGCGGGCGGTGCGATGGTAAAAACGAGACGTTGGTATCATCTCGAACAATTCCTCAGAGCACTCCCCGTGGAACATGCGGTACAAAATACAGAGGGAACCGAAGTCCCTCCGCAGACCCAAAGGCTCCAAATTTGATATTGTCCTTTTGCCGTTAAATCAATAATTTAAGACCAAATAATGGTATATTTAACTGTCTCTAAGTTTATGTGAATAGGTTTTCTTTTTTATTTTTGCTTAGATGAGTGGAAGAGCTCACGATTCACCTGGTATTAAGTGGTTACTGGAACCTAGGGACATCTACAACGTAAATACCGCTACCTACCTTGAGATATAAGTTGTATATTCTCAGTTATTACAGTGCAACGTCTGCCCTACCCTTCAGACCGAAACGCTTTACTGCTTCACGGCAGAAATAGGCAGAGCGGTGGTATCTACCCGTTCGAACTCACAAGACGTCCTACCATCAGTAAAGAATTTATCAATACTCTTTTAACTTAATAGAAATAAATCATTTTGTCCCCAGGGAATGTTAGTCTAATGGCAGCCCTAGCGTCTGGTGGCGCTGCCAGGCTCCGCACCCCGCAAATGCTGAGCGCGTGCGCGGCAGATTTCTTGGTTTGCGCGGCGAGTGCACCCCTTGCGGCAACACGCGCTGCTACCGTCGAAACACTACCATGTCATGTCACTTATTACATCGAGGCAAGTTTTTCTACTCGTCGTTTAGCGGTAGGCAGCGGCTTGGCTATACCCCTGGCATTGCTGATGTCCATGAGCGACAGTAACGACTCACCATCAGGTGGACCGTATGCTCATATGCCTTCAAGGGCAATAAAAAACGTAAAAAAAACTCATCACTATGACTTTTACTCATACGTCGCAAATTTTTTTTTAAATAACTGGTACCATACTAACTACCTGAGATCTTAGAACTTATATCTCAAGGTGGGTGGCGCATTTACGTTGTAAATGTCTATGAGCTCCAGCAACCGCTTAACACCAGGCGGGCTGTGAGCTCGTCCACCCACCTAAGAAAAAAAAAACCAAATCACATATCTTCATCCGGGCCTAAATTAGAATTCTCTGTGTTATGGGTAGGTACCAGAGACAGACATACTTTTTACGTTTAAATATATACATATATTATACAAAAAATATGCACACAGACATAGAGCAAACAAACATGTTCATCACACGAATGTTTGACCGATGTACGAATCGAACCCACGACCATCGGTACAACAGTTAGGGCCGATAACTACTCCACTAACGGGTCAAATAGTCAGCCCAAGAAGAGCCACGTTCAGTCCTTAGTGCCTATCTCTACACACGTATGCCTAACCATAGTCATAAAAGCTGCCTTTGTGTGCCTTTGAGTTAAATCACAGTGTTTAGTATCCAACAATGTGTAGGCGTCCTTTTTTGACCTTACATGTCCTTACGATAGATAGCATCACATAATTATAAAACTATCCCGGGAACCAATAATGGCTTTTATTTAGGCTGCAACACAAATTCTTATTACGAATTCGCCACATTAAACTCTAATAATTACGAATAAGCTCAACTGCACCATCTACCTTCATAGACAATGACTTTCCATCCTCCTTTCCAATGGAAATTGTTACGTCCTTAAAGCCAAGTCGCTTCTGCTACCTACACGTGCGATTATAGCTTAATTTCTGACCACTTACATCTTAGTAGTTCTGTTAAAAACGTTGAAGAAACTACTGCCTTACCTCCAGACATTCCCGGTGGCGGCAAGTACGTTGTCCTTAGTGGCAATCGCGGCAGATCGCTGTGGAGCAGTACACCGTGGCCGAGGTACCACGCTCTGTTCAAGGCCCTTCCTTGCTGTTGCTGCAGTATGGTCTATGGCACTACTGCTTGGTAAGAACTTTGTTTAACCATCAAACGCGATTTAGTTTTTGTTGGATTTGTCAAGACTCACTGCCATTGAGACGCCTCANGCAAGTACGTTGTCCTTAGTGGCAATCGCGGCAGATCGCTGTGGAGCAGTACACCGTGGCCGAGGTACCACGCTCTGTTCAAGGCCCTTCCTTGCTGTTGCTGCAGTATGGTCTATGGCACTACTGCTTGGTAAGAACTTTGTTTAACCATCAAACGCGATTTAGTTTTTGTTGGATTTGTCAAGACTCACTGCCATTGAGACGCCTCACTGAAAGTAAAATCTACTGGTTTTAAATTTCAAATAACCTGTACAGGGAAGGCAACGGTAGTGTTGGTGTAAATCAACTCTGGGCATTGGGCATATACGAAATCGGCACATCTAAGTGGCCATGGAAAAAGCATAATTTCGTTGCACTTTTTCGCAACATCATATTAAGCTTGGAATTCGACATACAAGTCTTATTTCCCTTTCTGTACTCCGGACATTATTTTACAAGTTACCCATGCCTCAAAGCTATCTTCTGTCCCTTGGGAACAATAGTTTTGTTCTAGACGAAAGGTACCTTGAATATCCTATTGTGTACCACAGACAATATGTATGCAAAATTTCATTATGACCGGTTGAGTAGATTAAGACTAGAAAGCAAACAAAAAAACTCACTTTCTTGTATGAATGGTAATACTGGTGATCGTGATAAGCTACCTTAAATCGCTAATTAGATGAATAATACCGGAATGCATTGTCTACGATATGATAATGTCTGCATAGCATTGAGACAACGATTATCAAGTTTGATAGCCGCTATCCAAATAAAAATCACTCATACTAGTTAAATCTAAGTCTAAGTGTGAAGAAAAACAATATACCGTTAGCAATTTACCGACATCACGGCGAAAACGAACCAATGCATATAAGCGGCTATCGAAAGCTTCAGAGATAGGTCAACTGTGTATCAGAAAAACAAGCCGCAATGTTATGATTAATTAATTAATTACTTAATTAGACCTTAGATTCGTTTGGAAAAAATCAATCGTATTTCTGTACAGGTGCCGCAGCATTCACAACAACTTGCATAACGTGCCCGCCTCTCGCAGCAGTACATGCAGTAGTGGCTTTTTGCTTCCCGGTCATTGCGGTGGCGAGATGCCATTGGGCGGTTCGTGTCAAGCTGACTGCATTATCGCTGACAGCACGCGCAGCTCACGGAGAGCTACCTCTACCAGTTCCACTGATGCGGCGTCCGACTCATGTTATCATCGTTGCTGGAGTGGGACCTAGAGAAAGACGCGACGCAGTGGATGTCGGTGATGCCAGATCTAAGAAAAAGCTACAGCCCAGTCTTCTGGGTCCGCAACCGCAAACCTCGACGCTGCGCTCACGTCGACGTCTCGGCAACGTGTTGATGGGCATCGCTGGAATATTCGCTATGTGCTGGTGTCCGCATGCCGCGATAGTGATATGTGGATCATTTGGTATCCACGTCCCTGAAATGGTTGGTCACTACGCGCTTCTTCTGGGTTATGCGCACTCAGCCTTGAATGCTGTAGCGTACTGGGTCTTGAACCGGCACGCTCTTACGTCAGCGTGCACCGCCTGGCACCTTCCTCAGCTGCGCGTCAGGGAGGAGAGACCGTCTTCTACCAACGAAGCGGCACTAGGCGCTTTCCATCCCCGGCTCGCGAGACCTGCTCCGTCGCCTCGCCCCCCTCCCTCCAGCTTCTTATATTGATATGTCCGTGTCTATTTTCTAAGCTCTCTCGATCTGTGATTCCTGTCTTTCAGTGCCTCGTGTAGTCTACGGCGCCCTAACTTCGGGGCGCTCCTCGTTTTCTCGTTATAAACGTGGTTGTTTCAGATTTTATGGAGAATAATATGCGCCAAGCAATAAAGTGTATAAAGCACTCATAGAAGTTTTATTGTCCTAACAAATGTTGACGTAAACAAACAGTGATGCGCTCCTGCCTCGGAAGTAATGGCCGGTATACGCGGCTATGATACGACGTGCCTACTTTACACTAACTGAATCACACCATTCAAAATAGAGCTATTTATAGTACTGGGCAAGAAATAATGCACATCGACCTCTAGAAAGAGACATTCGGCTAATTTCGGCTTTGTAGAGCGTTGTCCCTTTCGCACGAAATATTAACAGTCTGGTATCTATTAAGAGCTGTTAAAACAATTATTGTGAGTTGCTTATTTTGATTATTCTTTTTATTTAGAGAATACACTTTATTGCACACCAAAACACAGTTTACATTCAAAAAACAATCAAAAAAGCAGATACATTTGTACAATAGGCGATCTCTTCCAGACAATCGTTTAATTTACAGAAATTCTGGAAAATATAAAATAAAAATGTAAAATAAATAAAAAATAAATAAAAATAATATAAAATAAAAATTCTCGAAAATATTTTTTTTTTATAATACATTTTTTTTTATAATCTATGTTGTCCTTAGATTATAGTAACATAAATAAAAAACATGTATATTTACTTTTTGATTTATTTATTTTGAAAAGTGATACATTCTGACAAAACAATTATAAATCCTCAATTCCTTCTGATTCACCATCAGCGCTCTCAATGCATTATTTCTTGCCCAGTACTATACTACATCTGTTTGATGCCGCTACATCACTGCGATTTTTATGAGCGGAGAGCAGAGTATGCGTTATTGTATTCCGATATGAAATAAACGCAACTATAAAATATTAAATACAAAAGTAAAATTTCCAGACTACCATCGGATCGGCAAGAATTATCTGTAGGCGCTGTACCTTTTTATTAAAAAAAAATATTATATTTATACTGATAATAAAATGATAATATTACCACTTGACACATAAAAAATGAATAATCATTTTTACACATAGATATAACCTTTTACATACATACATACCAATACCCATAAAACTTAAACAATTACATAGTTCTTCTGAGTGCTATGTATAAATAACAAACTTTACTATATAGATGAGACTGAATACCTATTTTCTATAACATCAGCTTCGACAATTATTAATATATAATATATTTAATTATTTCTGGAACAAATTAAAGTCATAACTATAGATTTCTATTTAGATTTAAAATATTATGTACAAATTGAATCGATTTAAAAAATTGTTCGTCAATATTTGTTTAATATTTTCAAAATATTTCTGCATTCATAATTCTTTAAAATTCTTTGTATTAACATGAAAATAATATTTATTGTAAAGAAAAAAAGGACAATTACATTTATTATTAACATAACGTTTCAATTAGGTAATAAAATGTTCGTAACAAAAATGAAAAACAATTGAATCTTTAGTTTCATTTTAAGACCCCTAATCACCGAGCCGCAAAACGAAACTCCGCCGCGACAGTGTTATTATCACTGCCGTGACCAGGATTCGAACCTGGGTTACTACGGCCACAACGTAGGGTCCTAACCACTAGACGATCACGGCTATCGGAGCTGGTGACTGGTGAAATTAAATAACAAGTCATATTTTGTAAACTAGAGCACGTTTACCGCTTGAGTGATTGCGCTTACGCAAAATTCAAGAGAAATAATGTTTCCAATCTTAAAGTGGAAGACATTTACTGTAGTTTGAAGTAAGAATCTCAATTTGTGAACCTAATTTTTTATTACTTTAGAAAAAACTATTTCATGTTATTTCTAATATTCTAAATAAGGAAAATAAGTAACTGCATAAATTTAATGGTGAGAAGCTCGTGATATAAAAACCCATAAACGTAATAGTTCACTGAAAACTGAAACTGAAATGCGCTTACAACGCGGCAGAAATAAGCTGAATCGTAATATGATTACCTTCCAAGCGTCTTGAATCCCTCTACTCTATAGATACACCGGGTGTCTTACTCATTCGACCGCTGCTAGCACGACTTCCGTAAGCTAAATGCATTTCACTGAGCTTCAAACTTACGCATAAATCTCGTAAAAATACAGAGCTATTAGATCTTCCAAGAACGACACTTTCTTTCTAGTCGACAGTAATCACTCACACATAAGGTAAGGTAGGTGCATTTCACTTAGCCTTAAAATTACGCATAAATCTCGTAAAAATACAGAGCTGCTTCTTCCAAGGGCGACACTTCTTTCTAATTTAGACCGAGATAACACTACATGTGGCGGCATTGATTGATGTCCATGGGCTACAGTAATCACTCAACATAAGGTAAGGTAGGGTATTTTACTGAGCTTCAAAATTACGCATAAATCTCGTAAAAATACAGAGCTATTAGATCTTCCAAGAACGACACTTTCTTTCTAATCCAGACCGGGATAAGACTACATGTGGCGGTATTAATTGATGTCTATGGGCTACAGTAATCACTCACACATAAGGTAAGGTAGATGCCTTTCATTGAGCTACAAAATTACGCATAAATCTCGTAAAAATACAGAGCTGGTTCTTCCAAGGACGACAATTTCTTTCTAATTTAGACAGGGATAGGACTACATGTGGCAGTATTAATTGATGTCTATGGGCTACAGTAATTACTCACACATAAGGTAAGGTAGATGCCTTTCATTGAGCTACAATATTACGCATAAATCTCGTAAAAATACAAAGCTATTAGATCTTCCAAGAACACTTTCTTTCTAATCCAAACCGGGATAAGACTACATGTGGTGGCATTGATTGATGTCTATGGACTACAGTAATCACTCACACACAAGGTGGTTGTATTTGTAATAGTGCGTGAATAAATGAACGCAAACATTTTACCTCAAAGTAATTAACGCAACACTTATCTTCGATCATTTTAATTTCAAGTTATATTTAGCTCGATAATTATGAGTGTTGTAAAATTTAATGCTACGGTAATTATACGCGAACCAACTTAGAGATTTGGGTGATGACGTATAAAAATTGAATTTAATATTTACGTCAATATTTGAAAATGCGGCTTAATTACGCATTTATTGTATTTATTATGTAATTAAATATTTCGAGTATTATACAGTTTTTATGGTCATGGCTGACTAACTTATTTCTCTGGCATATTAAAAACGCTAATTTTATTTATTTATTGCTTAGATGCTTGCTTAAGATGATTGTTTAAGTAAGTAAGTGCATATCAATAACCCACGGCGAGTGATCAATTATTTCTTTATATTTTGTCTATTTAATCTATGTAATTATTGTGGCCTTAATCGAAGTATCGTAATATTTCTATTAAAATTCATTAGCGTCCTCACAATTCTTGGGCCTCCATTAAACGTTTTAAAGGACAAATGAAAAATGCAAATATAATTGCATCTCTATATTGTGGTCGCACATTCCTCTGTCTAAGCTCTTGTTTAATTAATTCAGTACACTTAATATCCATTATATTCTGTGATGCATTAAACAAAATTTATTCAACACAAAACTACGGCAAATTCTCGGGCTAAAGTTGATTTTAAGCGAAAACACGAGACCACGTTTCACACCGCACTCGTATGTGAAGAACAGTAGGACAAGTGGAATTTTAACAGTGCTCATGAAGTTATCAAAATTCAATCATAACCATTGCTAAACAACTTCACGCTGTATTGTGATAATGCATACGTGAGTGATCGCGTTCCGACCCGGCAGGCTGGTTTTGGCCTAGCGGGGTATCCCGGAACACCAGCGGCATCGCCCGGGCGGCTTGTTAGGGCCGCCGTACCGCGGAGACCGGCGTCGTTGGTCGTCGACTATCGCCTCAACGACCCGTCGGTCGGGCGTCCTCGGGGTGGCGCCGCCTGCCTGGTTGTAGTGTTGACCGCGAGAACCCCCCTACTCTGACCAGGTTCTGACGGAGGTGTGATGGATTAATGGTGTGTAGCAGTAGCAGTGGAGATAGCATTCTCGTGTGATTAAATATAGCTAAAAAAGATTTCAAACTAATTTTAGTCTTCACAATACATTTAGAGTAAGAAGTAAAGATATTATCAGCATATTACACATCCTGACGCAACACACAAGACGCCATACTAAGTGAACCCGAAACCCTTAGGATCCAGAACTCGGATAAGTTTCTATCATGGCCCATTATAAATTATCATTGGTTTTGAGTTGAGTAAATGCTCCAATATTAAAAACAAGAGGATGACCGGCTTTTTTTTTATAAATTTTATTGTTTATAAATTATATTTCAATAGGAATTACATATTGATATTATTTGTTATTTTATGTTATTTGTTATTTTCTATCAATAAAAAAAAAGTTTATATTTAACTTGATTTTCGATAAAATTGATTATTGAAAACACGAATAAAACAATATTTTCTGAAAATAAATCGTAGCTAGATCGATTTATCGCCCCCGAAATCCCCTGTATACTAAATTTTATGAAAATTGTTGGAGTCGTTTCCGAGATTCAGATTATATACATATACAAGAATCGCCCCTTTAAAGATATAAGATTATATCTTTTATAATTTTATTCAGTGCCAGTCTAACTGCGTCATATTGAGACTACGTTTTGAACGAAATATTTAATTCGTATTTTAATTTATTTCAAACTTATGGTAATTCGTCATAAAGTTTTTAATTAACTTTCACTTTTAATTGGCTCGAGTGGCCGGAGAGGCTCGAGACTCGAGTCTATTTTGTTCGCGTAATTTAAAAAAATCTAACGTTTAAGTACATACATTTCTTTAAGACCTCTCTGTAAGTACATTAATGTATCCTACGTAGTTATGATTATGGTATTTTGGAACGAAGTTTCTTACGGGACGATGCAGA